GGAAGAAGTTAGCATCAGCAAACTTTATGGCTGATACTCATAGCTGATAATTATACACTTCTGTTCACATTGCTACAATATGTATTTGCACAGTAGAACTATATATATGGAAATGCAGTAGTAGTTCTTCATATTTTCCTTCTGGCAAACAGTAGTATTTTTGTTCTGTTGAGTATGTTAATGTGTAAAAGATATGTAAGTCCCAAGTAGGTGTTTAAATTATGGGCTTGAACAAATGGCAGATCGACTTCAAAGGAAGGAGAGGGGGGGCAGAGGGGAAGAAAAAAGGAAAAACCCAGCCAACTTCTTCATGGAGTTGCCTTTTATTTTTGTAATTCTTTATGCGGACCCTTGCTTACACAGTGCTTGCTTTTGAAATGATTTTGGGCATGTATGTTGAGTCAGTGTAGCATCAGTTTCAGTTGTCTGTATTTTGGGGGAATGGTCTGAGGTCTACTCAGGTAAAAATGATTAAAATTCTTGTTGTATGTATACACAAATGCTTTACACGTTTTGGCCATTTGTGCCTCATGATTGAACTGCGGTATGGGGTATGTATGTGGAGGGTGTTAGGTTGTGCTTTAAACTATAACCCTATGGCCCGTATAGGCCAAAATAATCTTCTCGTTTCAGGTGTTTGAGGGAATACTGATCTTGCTTTGATTTTTACACTTTTTTTGTATATAAACTTTGCCCTACCCCACTTGCTGCCTATCCATCCAAATAATTATCCATTCAGTAATTGCTGTTTCGTAATGCCTTTTGTTGGCACCAATTTAGAAATTATTTGATAGAAGAGATAAGAATAATAAAGGAAGTATTATGACTAAGGAAGTATTATGACTAAGGAAGTATAGCTGACCTAGTCCTGTTGCCAGTTTCGTTTGACCTTGCCACTGCAGTCTCCAGTCATAACTTGTAATAAATATCAACAAAGATCTTAACAACTATGTGAAAGGAAGTTCTCATTCCCAGTAAGTTCAGGACAGTCAAAACCAGGCCAGCTTTGCTATTTTTTTTCTAGCAAATCTTATGCCAGATACCAACTGCTGAAGTGATTGATCTTGATGAAAGCCATGAGGTATGACAGTGCAGGAAGTTTTACTCAAGGTATAACCAATGAACTTTTTTTGTTGGAATGTTGATTGTAACATGAAAACGAGGAGAAGAGGTAACTGTAATCTTAAAAAAATCCTTCATTAAGTGAGTGTTCATGTCCAGGAGCTGATTAGGATTTCACAAGTTAAAAAAATGTAGAGAATTTACAAAGAAAAAATGAATAAAAAGAGAAAATTAATTCAGATATCTCTTCAAGCAAAACCGGTACTTATAGATCTGGAGGTGGTTAATTACTGGTGTTTGTTCAGATATGGGAAAATAATGGTAATAGCAGTACATATGTACAAAGATGAAATCAAAGATTGGTTTTACACTTAGTTGTAAACAGATTGTGCTCATAAGCCTGAATATCTGCTAAAAATAGTGGATTTTAGGCTTGAGATTAAGGGGACCACTATAGGCAAGCCTCACAGTAGACACTGTCAAAAAACTGCAGTAATGGTAAACCTGTGCCTGATGGCCAGGTATGTTATTTTTGGAACAACATTCTTTCTTAGTTCTGTTCGTGTAACTTGAAGTTATCTAGACAACTAAAGAAAAATCAGGTTATCTATTTGTGAAAGATGTAATAAAGAAATTAATATGTGGGAAGGGCTTGCTTCCTTAAGTTATTGGAAATTGTTTCAAAATCATGACTCTTTTCTACAAAGAATGAGGTGAATTTCATTTGACATCATCTTATTTCCAATGTAATACCAAAGAGAGGATGCACATACTTGAGATATGCTCTAAGAAGGCATCGGGCTCTCTGCCACAACAAGCATGGTATTGGACATGCAGTAGAGCACTTAAGCAGTCCACTTAGAAGAGTCTCTTCAAATGCTGTTAGGAGAGAGAATTTAAGGAATTTAATGGCGTAGGATATGCAAAAGAGCAGCCTGGGCTATATGAGAATCTTTAAACCCTTGCTTATACTCTGGAATGTTTAAATAGCAAGAAGTATATAACTAGATTATTTTTTTAATTAGGAATTGAAGAGACTAACATAAAAGAGTTATTACTGTTGCAGCCTAACTGCAGTAATAAGTGTATGTTATAAAAGCACATAATTGAACATATGAAACCAAGAGAGGCAAACTGAAAATGGCAGATGTACGCTGAATACAAGTACTGGGGATACCGTTACGGGAAGGCTTCCTATTTATGACTTCAGTGAACTGCTGGAGTCCATAACTTCTGGCTCTAACTTCTCTGTGTTTCTGCTTATTGTGCTGAAGATTCCTGAAAAGTAGAAATTTTATCCAGAGATTTAATTTTAAAACTATAGACTTCATAAAGGTCCAGGTAGCATATATGTGGTTTTCTTAAAATTGATTGATTTTTGATAGCAATTTCTGTGTTCAACCCAAATGTCCTTGAAAGTACATATTCTTAATTACATTTCACACTTTTATATTGCACCTTTAAATAAATAAATTTATAATTTCCTTTTGGTGCTCTCTTCTTGTTCCTTATATAATTATACAGTTTTGTAATTGGCATATGGCCTCTCTTTTCAACTGAATAATTTGCTTCAAACAGCAAGATGCTAAAATGTGGAAGCTAATATGAAAGGCTGTGTAACTGTTGGTAACTAACTGTCTTGTGGTTGATGCATTGCCAGTCTGTTTTGAGTGCTTTTAATACAGATGTGTTTTGACAGTATTCCATTGATTTGTTTCTACAGAACTGCACTAGGGGACCTCTGAAGATGTGCAGAATTATCCCACACTGTTGCTTAACTCAGTGTGAGAACATGTCCTTCTGCTTGCACTGCTCTGTATTTTCTGCTCCTATAAAAGATAGCTGACAAGAACTGTTTAAAAATAGCAGGCCAAGGGCAGGTGACAAAATGTCAAATGAGCAGCACCTGGTCCAGTGACAGCCTGGAGGGAGAAAAAAAACAAACCCAGATGTCACAGATACGATTCTATTTCTGAACGTGGTCAAATGCAGAATTTAGCTTCAGCAAAGGAAAAGAGATGGGCTCATCCAAGTAATACACATCCAGATTTTACTCTAGTTGTTTTTGTAACAATTCCCTTTTTTCTCTTAAGCATATTAGCTTACATATATAGCTTATTATATACACCTTTTCTCTTTATAATACCTGTAACCTCATGCTCCTTAATATGCTGTTACAGAAAAGGGAATTCACGTCAATTTGGCAAGTGTTCTGAAATACTTTAGCAGAAACTGTACTAACTGAAATAATAGCAGCTTAATGTTTCTGCAGTGCCACATTAATGTGAAAATATGTATAGGAGAATGATATTTGTACTTAGGAAATATGAAGTAGCTGATGAATATTTCTTTAAGAAGCTTTGCTCAAGAAGTTGAAAAGTAAAAATGGTAATTTTATTTACCTTCCTTCTGCCCATGCTTTTTTTTGGAGGTGCTATTTGCTTCATAGCCTTCTTGTGGTGTCACTTGTTTCCAAAATATGGAACGGGAAAATGATAATATGAAGAAAATACCTACTTGTCTTTCTTGAACTGCGTATGACAGTTTCAGAAGCGTATTGAAACTTCACGTTGCATCTGTTGAGAAAGAGTATTGATTACAGCACAGTAGTCTCTCTGGCTGGAAATAGACGGCTTTAACTTATTGATAGAACTGAAACTGGTGGAGAAGATTGGCCTTAGTTCTGCTTCGTCAGTTTATTTGTTAAATCTTAGTTTTGCAGAAGTAGAGGGCGTTAATGGTTATACTGGTTCTTCAGGGTAGTGAGGGGGTCTTGAGCTCCCATGTTTGAGTGCAAGTATAGTGAAGGAATGTAAACTGCCTGCTTCCTTAGCTCCCAAACTTAATAATAACTCTGGAGGTACAGATGGCATGTGAAATGGATTACAATACTTGTAAGTAACTGAAGATACTTACATGAATTAGTTAACTGAAAAAATGTTTTTTATATGGATATAATGGTCCTTTTGTATCTTTTTCCACACGAGGACTAATACCAATTACAGCTTTCAGAGTGTTTCGGGAGCTTGAGTGTTGTTACAAAGTTTCTTCAGGTTAAGTTTTTAATGCTTCGGCTCAGTTAAATAGTATCTAAAACTAATCTGAACAGTAGTAGAGCTGGTTCTGAACAGTAGCAGAGCTGGACCATTTCTTGCTTTGAAGGTAAAAGTAGATTTCTCTGGACTATGTCTCATTCGAAACAAAGTAACTGTGTGAATTTATTCCCACTCCCAGTTCCTGAAGTCATCAGAGATCTTAAAGTAACCCTTTCAATTGTTAAATATCACCTGAGAAAATTGTTACTATTTTGCATCTCTCTATCTTCCAGGAAACTGGCACCAGCAGAGTTAATTTGAATTTTATGGCAAACCGTCTTTATTTGCTAGTCTCATGTTCTGGGTCAAGAACAGATATTTTTCAAAGTACATATGAATGTATTCCATGAGATCAACACTCCTTCCAACCCAGTATTGTATCTCAAATAGTAAGCAATAGCAGTTTCTTAGGGAAGAGTACAAAAATAGCATGAGCACTCTGTCTCCAACAATCTGTCGCTCAAGAGCATCTGATGTTACAGGTAGTATGGAAAACAGTGATTTATTTTTACCAACTAAGTGAAATTTTTGTAATGCTGTACTCATTATTTGGAGCCCACTATAAATGGCATGACTGCAGCAAGGTTGAACTTGGAATACATTCTAGCAAAGGGATATATTCAAAGATAATTATTTCTTCTTTTATTTTGTGATTTTCCAGTACATAACAGTAAAGGTAAAATGCTGTTAAATTTGTAAATGTGTATTCTTGGGAAGTTGTTTTCAGTAGATGGAATATTCAGCTACCCTGGCTGTTCACTACCTTTAGCAATTTTTCATGTTAATGAATTTAATGAAGTTCTGAAATAAAAACATTAAAAATAGCTTTTATTTACATTGCAGGACGTATGGGAATAAACTTCCATCATCCAGGAACAGACAACATCATGGCTCTTAATAGTAAGTAGTTAATATCTAGTGATCAATATTGTCATGTTGAACATTATTTCTTACATTTATTGTGTACATAACTATACAGTCTGACATAAATATGTGGAATAATATTTGCATAGAGTTTATGTGCACTTTCTTTAAATTATTTTCATAAATCAATCACCTCTGATTTTATTGGTTGAATTGGTGATTCTTTAAATTAGCTTTACAATAGTTTTATGTGTTCCACTGGGAGCTTCATAATGCTTGCTTGCTATAGAGAATATTGCAAAACAGTCTCTGTTGTTCCCTCTTTTGTGGGTCTGTATGGGGGTTACATATGAAACTTTCAATTTCTGATATCTCTCCAGATGTGTTTCTTCTCGTTGGGATGAGTTGTTAAAAGTTTTGCATTGACTGGTGAGGTTTTACTTTGCTGGTTTCTATGCAACATTATGGAGACAGGAAGGGAGAGAAGGTTTAGACATCTAAATAATGAGCAGAAACTGCGAGGCTGAACTTCACTGGAAGGTTTTTGCTTCTGTTTGTGTCGGGAAATAAACATAAGTTTTAAAAATCCAGTAGTGAACATATGCATTCAAAAAAACCCCTGCCAAAATGGATCTGGAAGCACTAGAGATAGCCTCATATCATGTAGAGGGGAGTGTGGGAGATGGAGTGTTAGGCACTACCAGTATAATGTAGAACTTAACTATGCAAATCAAAGCATAGTTTTTATCCATCTAATCCTAAAAAAATGCTGAATATTTTGGGTTTGCTTACAGTGTTGTATTTGAGGTGTTAGGATTAACTTACTAACTTTTCTAAAATATTTTGCCTTTGCATTGTCTATATAAGTTGTGCAGCGTATAGTTGAAAACTGAAGGTTTTGTGTAGCACCAAACAGAAATAAAAATCATTTATAGATGTGAAGAAATGAAAATCTGTAATAGGCGAGACGCAAGGGTTTTAACATTCGGCTTTAAATATCAGCTTTTGTAACCTATAAGACTTCACTCTTGCTCTTTTTCTTGATTTTGCATTGTTAACGATGAGGCAATATTTTGCAATGTTTCTGTTGTCATAGTTGGCATATATGGCCTGCATTCATATGGGCACATGAAATTATGGGCAATCAAGTAATTAACTGTAAGTAAGTTCTGTGCAGGACAGTCTGTTGCTGTTTGACATAAATTTTGTCCCATACTGTATTTGTTGTTCCAGTTTGGGCATTTCAATAAGCTGATTCTAACAGTAAGATAGCTGCGAAGAAGAAAGATGATGATTGTATTTTTATCTATTTTAAAAAAATTCACAGTTAAAATGGAATATATGGCAATATTTGTTATGAATTCTTATAGAGACTTTTGAAAGACAGAATTGAAAAACTGATAGAAAAAGCTATGCTATATACTGTATTCTGTCAAATCAGGGTTGTTTCATTTTGGGTTAACTCACTTTATCATAAATGGATGAATATATTCGACTCTGATTTCTATCAATGATAGATAAGCTAAAAAAAAAGTAGCTGCCTTTTGTAATGGAAATAATATTTAAGAACATATGTTTTCCTAATTCCTTTGAAAATTTTATAGCAGCTATATAATGTAATTGTTTATAAAAAATAATGATCCTTTATAGTCCTGGTGTATGGCTAAAATATCAGCATAACTAATGAGGAGACCTAAATAAAACGAGTATATAAAATATTTTGGGTTTATTGAAATATTTACTATTTACAGACTTATGTAAAGCTAGTATCATAAATATGCAATTTATGCAAGATAGTAGAGATTGTTCTTTAGAATTGAATTCAGTGCAAGTGAGTAGTTTGCGTAAATCATAGAATCACAGAATGGCCTAGGCTGGAAGGGACCTTAGAGATCATCTAGTCCAGCCTCCCTGTTTTGGGCAGGGACGCCACCTCTTGACTAGACCAGGCAACACATGGGGATCGAGCGGGAATCGAACTCGTGACCTCGATGTTGGCATTGTTATCAGCAGCACGCTAAAACCACTGAGCTAAGTTCCCATATATTTTCCTTCTCCTGCATCTCTTCTCCTTCTCATTCTTTACTAGGTAAGGCCACACCAGTTTTGGCCATAACTTAAAAATTACTTACTGTGGTTTAAATGCTCTTTTGCATGCAGCTAAACCAAAGAAATATAGTTCTAAATATAGTTCTAAAATTTTCATGTGATCCACTTTGTCATGGGGAAATACACCAAGGAAAGTTAGTCCAAGAAGAAATACTCTTTCCTATGCCGGACTGGTTGTGGTTTAGGTTAAAAAATATAAAATACATAAAATAAAATAAAAATTCCCCAAAGAGATTTCATCTCAGTAATTTTTTGGAACAATTTGGAGAACTTATGTAACATCTTTAAATCATAATATTTGTATTATCTATATATAATTTCTGTGAAACCAAACACTGCTGAATCTGCAAATCCAGCCTTCGCATTCTATTTATAGTCATTGCTTCATAAGCATTTTTCTCTTCTGCTAAGATAGAGTAATAATCTTTAAGATTTATTATTCAGAGCTCAATTTCTCGCTATCAGTGTAGGCAATCTTTTGAAGCTGGAAGACAACACAGGCTCGTGCCCACAGCAATGCAGAACTTTGCTTCACAAGTTAGTGGGGAGATTTTCTGAGGTGTGTTTGTCTCTTTAGCTCCTTCGCATCCTTTGTGGCAACATTTTCAACTGTATTTCAGCTGGTGTTTTTATTTACTGATTACAACCTTTCAAAACTAGGGATTTTCGTGACGGCTGTCTTGAGCTAATGTCTGAAACTTGAAGGGGATTGTTTGGTTTGAGGGAACATGTTACTTGCTTAGTTAGGAGGGCTTAGTGTAGAGCATGCTCCCACCATTCTGCTCGTCCTAGTGCAAAGCTACAAATATTCATCACCTCAAAGCAGTGAGTTCTGAAATAATAAAATTAGTTGAGATGGAAAAGGTTATTGTTGAACACATAAGAATTATGAATCTCTCCTTGTCGATAATGGCATTATATTTGTATATATACACAAACGTGTGTATGTTTACATTGCAGAGGTGCTTAAAGTTCTCTGTCAGAATTAGACTTGCAGAATTAGGAATGCAATGTTCGAATATTCAGAGAGATCTGAGCATAACCCTAAAGTGCATTTAAACAAGAGGAAGATGCAAATATTTACATTTAAAACGTTGTACAAAGGGAAAAAGTGATAGCTTTTGCCTATGCTAGGTCTAGTTGAAATTTCTCTAATTGAAATAGTATTTTTAACCAAGTAGTGACATCAGTTCCTTAACTTTTGAATTATGTCATCCATACTGAGCTAAACAGTAGAAGAGGAATTTCTATAAACTTTCATCTACAGCACATTATTAAATACAATTGATATTATAATTTCTAGGGGAAAGGTAGCATAAATTGAGCTATTGATTTTATTTATGTAAATTCATGTATAGGCTTAAAGAGAAACCATCTGTTGATGATACTTTTAGTAGATCTTTGCAATGCTATTTCAAAGTTATGTTTACAGGACTAAGCAAAACAAAGAAAACCATTTGCTTTCCCAGAATTAACTCAAAGGTGTCCCATTCTCTTGCTCATCTTCACTTCCATTTGCAGACATACATTTCCGCAGCCGTTACTTCTGTTTGGGGGGTGCTGGATGTTGTCTTGAGTTAATATGTACTTCTTTTTAATTAACTATATAAATAGGACCCAGTGATCAGCATGAGCACGGTCACCTATGTGCTAGGTAGAGAGCTGTCTTTAATGCTTCTTGTGAACTCCAGAAAGCCAACAATAAACTTTAGTGGGAGAGAAATACAGCAGGTGAAAAAGGGGGATACACAAGAGTGTGTGATTTTTCTAAGGAAGCCCTGAACTGTATTGCTGGTTCCCAAATGAACTTAAGTAAAATGAGTTTAGACTAAAGGTAGTTGAACCAACAAATGAGAGAAACCCCTTTGTGAAATGCTGGATTTTTGTTTTTCATAAAGCTTCTCTGTGCAGTGACTTTGCGCTGCTGTTGGGCTTCAAATATTCCATCTGCTTCCAGTGTTCATTCTTGTCTCATATGAAAATTTGTCATCTGTGAGGTCTGGTACTACTTGCTCTCTATCTGACTGTCTTCTTTTCATTACTGTCATTTAGTTCTGTTTGTTCTGAGTAAAATAATTTGAAAAATACATTGACGCAAGAGTATGGGGCACCTTTTTAGATGTTTGTGTAGAGATTTTGGTTTATTCAGACAGATAATAATTATGTGGGAAAGTCATCATGCCATGACAGAAAAGGTAATGACATGAACCACACAGGAAAAAAAAAAGTAATGGCAAAAACAATTTCATTTTTTAAATTTTCATGCTTCTGTTGGTTTTAAAATTGCCTCATCTCCTGAAGAGCTATTGTATATGGGTCTTCCTATATTCTGATGTATTATTTTCAAATGCATACGGTGTTTAGATATTACAAAGTTGCTGAAATAGGATTTTATGTTTAAATCTTTTGCCAGTTCTGTTGGTATACCTTGAAATTAACTGCTCTGAATAGAAGGCTTATTGAATTAACTTTGTCTTTTGAACTCTTGACTTGGCAGTTTAACAGCTAATAAAACCTTCGGTTTTGATAATATTCTGGGAAAATATGCAGCTAAAGTTTGAGGGGCATCAATCTCTTCTAATAGTCTGGTACCTACCTGTAGAAATTTGCTGAGCTCTCTAGCCTAATTGCCAGGTCAGATTACTAGTATGTTCCTAACTTATTAACATAAAAGGAATAATACAAAGAAATAAAAGACAGTAAGAGACCTAATACAGTTTGCAAAACTAGACCTAGTTTAATCATGACGAGATCAGAATGTATTTAACTGGAGGGAAAGAATAAATGATGTAAAATGTGACATAGCAAAGGCAGCATGGTTTGTAAGAGTCCCAGAGCGTGGGAACTGTCACTTTACACATAACCTTGAAAAGTTTTTCAGAGCCAGCTGTACAAACAGTATTGATGGTGCTTTGAGGGTGGTGAGA